GAACAATAGTTGCCAGTCAAAGATTATCAAACTTACCCAATCACAGATTCCTTTGACAATTTTCTTGAGCCAGCGTCCTTTGACCCTCTCATCATCGGCCTCATCCTTATCCTCTGAGACAAATATTTTCCAGAGTTTGTTCAAGTGCGGGTTCTCGACAGGGTCCATGAGTGTGTCTGTTTTCAACTCTTCATCCTCACTGCGAAGTAGGTTCTTGAAGAGCGCTCTTTGGATATCGGTTATTGCAGACGGATTGTCACTTGAGTTGTTAAGAAGGTTTGTGAGAATGGAAGTCGCTAAGGGTAGAAGCAGTGACTCCAGCTGGTTGCTGATGTTGTTTACTCCCTCATGATCATGTGTGAGATCATGTTCAAGGTTGGTGGTCAAGTCGATCATGGCATAGGTTGAGAGAATTTTTGGACTTAATTTCAATTTTTTTTTGATCTTTTTTTTCTCACAGGGATATGTTCGAAGACATGACAGTATTGCCATGATTCATCAACATCGTCATCGAATTCACCAGATGAATGGAGGCAAAGGAGTGAACCGATGTCAACGTCTTCGCCACCATCACCATCACCACCGTCATCTGCCACAATGCAATCATGCACAACGATCATCGTTTCTACCTCCAGATCTATCTTTGCTCTTTCATAGTTTTCTGACGATGTTGTCAACACCGCTATCCTCAACATCAACTTCGAATCCAGCAATGAACGATTACAAGATTCGTCGACATATACCTCCTGCATCATTGGCATCCTCATTTTCTACATCTCATTCAGTTTCGACTGGATTGCTGATTCGGCAGTGTTTAGCATTTCATAATCGGCTGTCCCAATCTGTCAAACCTGCAACAAGAAATGCTCATCCACACACACACCATCATTACTGCATGCAGTCCATTGGATTGACGGATGTTCATGGACGACATGATTTTGTATGGCATAATGCCCGACCTCTACAACAACATAGAAAAGCCTTTCACACTTCACATCCCTTTCACCAACTTCACCGCGGTGTTAACAATGCATTTCAAGCAACACAATACTCAACGCAATCCACTCACACAGAACAGTTATTTCCGACCGAAGTCGAATCGCTACCCACAAGCTCAACCCAGTTACTGGAATCACCAAACGGACCATTGATACGGTCACCGCCAACAGAACTTTTCAATTATCTTAAAGAAGCATTTGGTAATGCATTACGTTCAAACAACAAAAATGCCATTAGTCAATTGTGGAAGACAATACGGGATGAGACTGCTGAAACAGAACATGATGCCTTTAGCATTTTGACAATAAAGGATGTTAATGATGCTGTTAAAGTTTTGATGTCAAATGAGAAAGGTATGAACTTTTGTGAATTATGGATACGCGAGGTGTAGGTTTTTACATCCTAAATAACCCAAAACTGTTACATTAGGCACAGACACAATAAACCCTAATCATACGCACGAGGCTCTCAATATGCTGCAAACTTTATTAACAACAACCCCAGCACCGCTACCTAGTGAAACCGAATACCACTTTCGTATGACTGTGCGCATATTGAGGTTGATGGAAGAAGTGAATTCTGGGTCAGACGAAGCTGAAGCTGAAGGGATTAGTCAGCTTACGGATACTTCCCTGACTCAGATAGTAGAATACTGTCTTGGACGATTCCAGGAATCTCTCTCAAGTTCCAAAACTCCTCCTGGTCGTGGTAGACATGCCAAGTTATCATTGGAAACATGTGTTGAAGTATTTCGCGCTGAGGCTATTATTTCATCGCGTAATCACCAAAGCTCGGAAATCGACGGCCATGGCGGTAACACACTGTCAACTACCATCTTCCAAAAGTTAACCTCTGGCAATTTGGCTTCTCCGTTTCGTGTGTCGCTGGGGAGAGTTTATGCATACGTTGAGGAGGGATTGGTAGAGGATTCTGCCAAAATGCTTGCAGGGACGGATTGGGAAGGGATTTTCAATCCTGTTGATTCATCAACGAAAAGGGATCTTAGAATTCTCGGAACGACTTTTCGACAAGTATTCGAACAAGTGGAAAATAGTGAAAACAAAGTTCTTGTTGAGAAACTGACCCGTGTGGATCAAGTTATTCGAAGTCTGGACATGACAAATGTCGGAGTCTTTGGTGGTCGCAAAGGTATGAATGTTTCCCTCATAACCACTACTACCGACGAAGTGGCCACTGTTCATCAACAAATTATCCACGCGATTAAAGTTCTTCGAGACCCACATGCTGCGGATAATCTTATCAAACCGTTGGAAAGCGAAGGGTTACCAATTCCACGCAAGATATGGATCTTGTTGATGTGCGGATTCGTTGACATTGGTGAACCACGACTTGCGCAAAACGTTATTCGAAGGGCCGAGGCACACGTAATTAATAGAGGGATTGTGTGTCAGCAGCAGGTTCATAGTTTGACTAGGAGGAATAGTTTGACTAGGAGGAGGAGGGGAAAGAAGAAAAATTCAAAGGGGGGTATAAAAGAAGCCCAGACGAAGAATTTGATTGATATTGGGCTCTATTCGATTTTGATTCGGAGATTGTTAAAATTGAAGAGGACCCATGATGGTGTTGAAGTGATGAAGGGGTTATTCAAACGACTGGATCGTAATGGGAAACTTGATGATAGTGGTGTTGGTCATAGGTGGAATGAATTGGTCAAGTTGGCTGTGGGTGTTGCTGATGGGTGTTTACGTTTGGAGAACTTTGCTTTATTTGACGAGATTGTGGGAACCTGGAGACGGGTGGATGATGGTGGCGGTGGGCAACGGTATCATGATGTTTGGGATTGTTTGGAGATGAAAAGGTTGATAATGACGGGGGATGTTCCTAATGCTCTTAAAGTTTTTGGGAAGGTGAGAGGGAGGATTGTTCAAAAATTGCGAGGGGGTAAGGGTGAGGGTGAGGATGAGGATGCAAAACAAATCAACGGATGGCACAAGGCGGTTTTTGCACGGACGATAACTGTTGCTTATGGGACTCTTATTTCGGGACTGGCACAGCGTGGGTTGGCACGAGAGGCTGAGCGCGTGTTGAGAGCATGGGTTCAAGATTGCACGTCTTCGTCATCACCATTAGTGGAGCTTGGCATGGAGCCTGATGTTGCTAGCGTGACGCCTGTTGTGGAGGTATACTGTCGCGAGGTGGAAGTAGGAAAGGCGTTGGATATTGTCAGAGGATGGGTTGGAATGTTTTCACATGATGGTAATTGGATTGATTCCAACATGGACGCTCATCTCTTTGCGGTGTTGTTTTCGGGGTATCGGAAACGCGAAGCTTTAATCAGATATTGGCGAGAAGTTCGGGGACGCGGAAATATCCCAGGCCCTTATGTCGATAAAGCGACTCGCGCAAGTGACTTGAAACGGAGAGAGGTTCAGATTTTTGAAGGGCAGGTCTCAACTGTCGATACTGCACGAGAGGTATTTTGCAAGGGGGTGAAGGACCAATTGGTTGGAGTGGTTGATAAAAGTTATT